TAGTAGAATACAGATGGGCAAAGCTGATTTTCATTTTCCCCCTCAGTTATATTAACAAGTTTTGCTACTCTGGTCTTCCTTCCAGAAACATGATGGGCAATTTACAGTCATTCAGCTAGTGGGAATGCTGAGAGGAATTGCTGCCGGAATGAGATATTTGGCTGATATGGGATATGTACACAGGGACCTAGCAGCACGCAATATTCTTGTCAACAGCAACCTAGTTTGTAAAGTGTCAGACTTTGGCCTGTCCAGAGTTATAGAAGATGATCCAGAAGCTGTCTACACCACTACAGTAAGAAAAGCAGTAATTCTTATGAATGCAGATGTCCTTATTAATATGAGAACAATATTCTCTTGAGGATACAAACAGGGTAAATGCAAATGCCTGAGGAATACTATGCAGAAGCCTGGCTATGAGTAACTTATAATGATTTCTAATAACATAATCCTTTATTTGAAGCAATTCTTGAAAGTTTGTAAAACTGTTGGTTATCATGTGTCGTTGGGGGGTTTTTTTGCATGAATTAATATGAGAATTTGAACTATGAATTACAGCGCATCAGAGCAGAACATCTGGGCTTATTAGCATGTTCTAGCAGCCTCCATGTCTCATGCATTCAGTGTTCCCACACTTCAAAATGGCAGCAGGGCTCCCCAGGCTCCCTGCCAGCCAAGGCTGCTCCTACCTGACTCAATGTGCTGCGGTCCCAGGCTTAAGTATAAACATGGTGCCCAGGAGCAATAAACTCTGGCGAAAGCTGTTCCAGAGTTTATTCAGTCAAATTAATTGCACGTGTATATGCGTCCAGAGGGATCACTTTGCTACTGTTGGGCAATTAACTCCCTTACTTGTGTGTCTTGCCAGTTTCATTTCCAGTTTCTTTCTACTTTCAACCTGTGTGTTCACTCATGCTATGGACAGTAACATCTGTATTGAGCCTGTTTTCAACAATCCAGAAAGAGGGTACAAAGCTGACACTTATGTGTTCAGCCAAAGCTTATATCTGGTTCCTATGGCTAGGGACAAAAGTTACACATAATCTGGTATAAGTGATCGGAAACCAGTTTAATTCTGTAATACAGCAGAAGTTCAATGCACATAAACCACTTTCAAAATGGCCAAAACTTGTTTAAGATAAATCGGATTGACGTAGTATCAGGCTTAACCGATTTAGGTTAAATTGGTTCATTGAATTTCTGTCCTAGATTCCCTCCAGATTCAAGTTAACTCACAGTCCCACAGCATCCTAGGAGACTTTGCACCTTCCACACAGCCCCTGCCCCCACCCTGACAGGGTGGGCAGGCTAGCCTTGGCCCAAGCTGTCTGCTCCAACTGAGCAAAGAGACATGCTCTCACCCCCATCAGCTTCTGGCCTGGGCCACTGAAGGCATGTGGCTGCATTTCCAGAATCAAAAGTGAATGTCTGTTCACTTGCTTATTGGTTCAATCTACGCATCTTAAACTAACCTGTGAAGATTGACCTGATTCAGCCTCGGGCTTTTTGACTGTCTGTACTTAGCCTATGAGTTCAACCAAAGACAGCTTGGCCCAAATAAATCAGTGAGATTTCAAAGAACCCTTAAGGAATTTCAGTAGGTTTTAGACATGTGATTCCTTTATAGTCTCATGAAAATTCCAGCACGGATAGCATGTTTTTGATGTTCCAATTAATGGAAATTTGAAATCTGTTGCTAAGGAAATGCTATGGAAATTTTGTTTAAAAAATATGTATTTTTTTAATAGGGTGGGAAAATTCCAGTAAGATGGACAGCTCCAGAAGCCATCCAATATCGCAAATTTACATCAGCCAGTGACGTATGGAGCTATGGAATAGTGATGTGGGAAGTAATGTCTTACGGAGAGCGGCCTTACTGGGATATGTCAAATCAAGATGTAGGTTATGCATATACTATATAAATGTGTAAACCTACATAGAAAAATATAAGTAATGTATATGCGTCCAGAGGGATCACTTTGCTACTGTTGGGCAATTAACTCCCTTACTTGTGTGTCTTGCCAGTTTCATTTCCAGTTTCTTTCTACTTTCAACCTGTGTGTTCACTCATGCTATGGACAGTAACATCTGTATTGAGCCTGTTTTCAACAATCCAGAAAGAGGGTACAAAGCTGACACTTATGTGTTCAGCCAAAGCTTATATCTGGTTCCTATGGCTAGGGACAAAAGTTACACATAATCTGGTATAAGTGATCGGAAACCAGTTTAATTCTGTAATACAGCAGAAGTTCAATGCACATAAACCACTTTCAAAATGGCCAAAACTTGTTTAAGATAAATCGGATTGACGTAGTATCAGGCTTAACCGATTTAGGTTAAATTGGTTCATTGAATTTCTGTCCTAGATTCCCTCCAGATTCAAGTTAACTCACAGTCCCACAGCATCCTAGGAGACTTTGCACCTTCCACACAGCCCCTGCCCCCACCCTGACAGGGTGGGCAGGCTAGCCTTGGCCCAAGCTGTCTGCTCCAACTGAGCAAAGAGACATGCTCTCACCCCCATCAGCTTCTGGCCTGGGCCACTGAAGGCATGTGGCTGCATTTCCAGAATCAAAAGTGAATGTCTGTTCACTTGCTTATTGGTTCAATCTACGCATCTTAAACTAACCTGTGAAGATTGACCTGATTCAGCCTCGGGCTTTTTGACTGTCTGTACTTAGCCTATGAGTTCAACCAAAGACAGCTTGGCCCAAATAAATCAGTGAGATTTCAAAGAACCCTTAAGGAATTTCAGTAGGTTTTAGACATGTGATTCCTTTATAGTCTCATGAAAATTCCAGCACGGATAGCATGTTTTTGATGTTCCAATTAATGGAAATTTGAAATCTGTTGCTAAGGAAATGCTATGGAAATTTTGTTTAAAAAATATGTATTTTTTTAATAGGGTGGGAAAATTCCAGTAAGATGGACAGCTCCAGAAGCCATCCAATATCGCAAATTTACATCAGCCAGTGACGTATGGAGCTATGGAATAGTGATGTGGGAAGTAATGTCTTACGGAGAGCGGCCTTACTGGGATATGTCAAATCAAGATGTAGGTTATGCATATACTATATAAATGTGTAAACCTACATAGAAAAATATAAGTAAAATACTTTTACTTTTGCACAGGTATGGAAGGTAAAGAGCTAGCTAAAGTAATGTTCAAAGGGGAAATATCAGAATGGAGGGAAGTTACTATCATCAATGCAGAAAATAATTGGATTATCATAGAGAACAAACTAGATAGCCTCAAGACCTGAAATGGAATGACATTCCAAGTAAAAAATACAAGGTCACATAGTTGAGGCCCATTGTCAAAAACTTCAGTTACAAGCTAGGAGCTCGCCCACTGGAAAAGACCAAGAAAGAAAAAAACCTTGGTGTATTGACTGATTACAAGAGTTGACTACAAGTTGCTAATATGGTGCAGCTGTGGAAAAAAATGCAGCTGTAGTCCTAGGATGTATTAGGTGAGATATTTCCAGTAGAGATAGTTTAATTGTACAAGGCACTTGGGAGACCTTATCTGAAATCCAGTGCACAATTTGAACCACTTGTGTTCAGGTTAGATCCAGAGGAGGTACAGTGGTGCAACCACCCCGCCCTTTCTAACCATCCCACAGGAGCAGCAGCCAAGGACTTTTTTAAAGCCCCCCAAGCAGGTGAGAAATCCCCCACTCCCTTCTCCTCTGTGCTCAAAAGCATGCCCCCTCCTCTCCTCTCTTCCCCCTCTCACACCTACCAATGCTGCTGTCCCCACTGACCCAGGGGGACAAGGCGAGTTCTAGAGCCACTCCTGCTTGTTCCAGCTGGGCTGTGTCGGGGCCAGACTCAGCCCAGGACTGCAGTGGCAGTGAGCAAGCTCTTGATCAGCCCAGGAGCAGGCACAGGGAGTGGAAACCACCAAGCACCACCACTGCCCCAGGCTGAACCTGACCCCAGCCATGCCAGCTGAAGCTGGGCAGAAGCAACTCGGGAGCTTCACTTGCTTTCTAGGACAGTGGGGACAGTGGCAGACAGGGGAGGGAATTGGCCTCTGAGCAAGGAGGGGAAGAGTATTTCTACCTACTTGGGGGACTTAAAACAGTCCCCAACTGCTGCTCCTGTAGCATGGTTTGCCCCACGCAGTGTGGGGGAAGAGGGGAAGGGAGGAAAGTTAGAAGCAGGCAATTCTGTAGTGCCAGCTACTGCTCCCACACCCCACTTTGTACAATCCCAGATCCTCTTCTACCCATGTTCAAGAATGAACAACTCAAACTGAAAAATATTTAGAGAAGGACTGCTAGGATGATGAGGAGAAAGGAGAATCCATTATAGGAAAGGAGACTGAAAGAGCTTGGCTTGCTTAGTTTAGCAAAATGAAGACTGAGAGCAGGCATGTTTGCTGTCTACAACTACAACTGAAGGATAATTTTGGCACAAAAACAAATGGATATAAACTGTCTACAAATAAATATAATGGTGGAAATTATAAGGTCCCAAACCATCAGAACTGTTGTTTTTTCGAACAGTTTTCAGAATAGTGGGGGCTAAAAACTTATCTTTTTTTAAGATGATGCTTAATAAAGAGATTAAATGATACCCGCAACACTAGGAGACTAGAGTTGGTGACCCTAGAGGTCTTTTCCAAGCCTTGTTTCTATGTGCATACCTGAACATTCATGCATGCACACGCGCGTGCGCGCACACACACACACACACACACACACACACACACACACACACACACTCAACTGTCTTTTCAAAGCATAATTATAAAAATAGAAATATTCTAAGGTTCATATACAGTGAAAAAATATCAAGTTTTAACGATTTTTCATTTCCTCAATCCCTGCATCATTAATTTGCTGTACTGATGGACTGTTTAACCAACAATACTGAAGCTGTATTAATTTCTCTGGTACAAATTTCAGATTTGTATTATGGGCCTAAAGCAAGAGGAGGGCTCCAGAAATAGTAACAAATACCTGGTAGAGTTGTTGTTTTATTACTTGAAGCTTAGTGCTAATGAGATTATTTTGTTTAAATCTTAGTTTCTTGAACTCATTATTAGTCTACTGGAAAAAGTTAAAAGTCAGAGAAGCCATTAATGATATGCTCTTCTAATTTCAAGTTAATATTGCTGACTTAACTATATCCTTGTATGCGTAAAATGTGACAGAACAACTGGTCACCAGTCATAGATGAGATTGTTATTAATTTTCTTGTTAAAACATATATTCATAAAGATAACATTCATTTAAAAAGAATGCATCTGGTGGACAGCAATGCCAGATAGATTCTCATATCAAATTATTTTTTGATTGAATGATCGACATCAAAGTTAAAAAAAAAAATAAAGAAGATAAAAGTCTAAATGATGAGTCAGTTTGGCACAGTGCAAAGTTGTTAATATTTGACAGGTCTCAGTGTCAAAGATTTCATGGACTGTCAAAATATGGGCAAACAAATCCTTGGGGCAGAGAAAGAGAAATATTTACATTCCCTAGACACCCAGTAGAGTTTCATTTCTTTTGACACCTTCCTTCTGTACTAGATTCAAACATAAAAGGGGTCTGACAGGAATATAAGATGCCTCAAAGGCAAGCCTTACCTATCTTTCAGGAAAGAATAAGGGAAAACTTTAAAACTGGGTGTGGGGGGAAGGATTCTATGTATGCTTTTTAGATTTTTTTTTTATTCTTTATTTTCTTGTATTGTAAACAGCTGAATGAAGTACATGAATTATCCCTGTTAAATAAGCAAGGGAATTGCACCTCCTTGCAATTTAATCTCTTTTGTTACTGTATGATATATTCTATTTAGTATATAAAGTAAGGATCTGTTGACTGTTTTAGGAAAGGACTGACTGCAGATATTTTTGTATGTTGTGATGGGCATATATGTTTGAAAAAGAAAGAAAGAATTACAGTCACCCAAAACTAACAGACTGATGATACAAAAAATTTTAATCAGCCTGTAATTTGTGTAGCCACAGTAAATTACAGAGACAAGGAATTATGAAGAATTTTTAGATGTCTGCCAGATTTGCCCAAGCAAGTAGGCAGTTTATATATCTGAATGCACCATTTCTTAGTATGAGTGAATGTGGCTGCAGACTTAAGATCCCTTTAAAAATAATGCCATTCTGATTTTGTTGGATTTGGTAGCTGTTTAAATTTCTCCTCTCTAGCCTCATGTAGTTTAATCCTACACTAACCCTTTCAACATTGTAGCATGTGCAGAGCAGCACAAGTGTGATCCAGTTCCCACTTTTACGGGATATATTCCTGGGGAGTACCAGTTCTGTATGTAACCCGTAAGCAGTCCTACAGTCACAGAACGGGATGGCTCAGAGTGAGTGTCACAGAACCTTAATTGCTTCTTGCAGCAGTGCAGTGCCTCTGTTTGCCTACTGCTGGCAACCAAAATCAGTGGATAGTATTCACTGTTTAGCACAGAATCCCTCTCTAGTATGTTCAGGTATAACTTTTACAGGATTACTAAGGTTAGTGCTAATGTGGACTAGTTTCTTGTGACAGAGAGCAGGACCTGTCCCTGTAAATCAATGTCTTTTTCTTCAGGTACTCTACTCTGGCATTCCAAAAAAAGACTGTCCCCATCAGTGAGATGATATGGCAAACAAAACATTGCATTACATAGTTATCCTTAATTAAAAACATCCTTGTTCTCTGTAGCACTGGCCCCTTGTTTGCTGCTAGAGCATATGCTAAAACAGACCTGGCGCTGTTCTAACTTCTACTGCAGCCATGCAGGCCCTCAGACAACCTGGGAATTGAAGAAACATAAAAATGTCTTAAAGAAACTGTTCTCCTTCTCTTTCTGTTTCTGGGCTAAACAGAAATGGAGGAATAGAGAACTGCATCAAATCAAAGTAATAATTTGTTCCCCTTATTATGAATTTTTGGTAGATTCCATTAGCATCTGTTTATAGAAAAATCTCTTTATTCAGCCATTTATATTGTATACTGTGTAATGGCTAATTTTGACCTGTTTTTCTTTCTGTAGCACTTTAGACATTGATAATGTTTAAAAAAGCAGCCCAGTTGCTAAGGTTGTTTTAACAAATTTACACATTAATCTTCAAATTGGTTCTTTACATCTAGAGTACAGACAACATGGTGATTTTTTGGAAAGACCTCCCTGCCCCCACAAATCTGTCTGTAGCTAAACCCCTTTTTTAGTGTTTTCAAATTTGATCTTTCAGATTTGTTTGCTCACAGCAGATGTCATTGTAACTTGTCCTGCTTCATCCCTATGGCATTTTTTAAAATAATGCCAGTACCTTAGTTGCTTCCTATCCTCTGGGTTCTCTTTAGAATACAGTGAATGTGTAAAATATTGGTTAGTGATCCTCTAGTTTCTGCTGTTACTTCCTATAATACCCTTAAACATAATCTTAACTACATGACTAGTTAATTTTGAATCCTGTTAACAGTTTGATGGGTAATGTTGTCTAGATGCTTTTTGCTTCATAATTCACTGATTGTTTCTGTAAATGTGACCTGTTGAACACTACTTCTTATGCCAAAAAAAAAATCAGTTTGATTTAATGTTATAACCCCTGTCATCTTTCTTCTGATGACCACAATTTTGCTCAGTTTTGTTTTTAAAGGTTCTTATATTTTATGCTTTAAAATGAGTACATAGTACATCTCTTTCCATTTCCATCCCATCCCACAATTTAACCTTCCTGTAACTGCAGCGACAACTATAATGTCACTTATAGTGTCATTTAACCAGTCTTCAGCACAGTCTAAGATACTTACATAGCCCCCCTCTTACTGAAAGAGCCGGGCAATTTACAATCCTTAATGTGTTTATTTTCACAATGCCCCTGTGATATAGGGAAGTAGTAATGCCTTCATCTTACAACTAAAAAACAAACTTGAGACAGATTAGGTGACTTGCCTGAGGTCAGAGAGGTTCTCTGTGGCCAGTAAGAGAGTTGGCCCCATGTCTAAGGTCCAGACAAAAAGGCATTATCGCTAGGCCATGTTTCGGTGTACGTCCCTTCCACAGAGGATTGTGACACACTCGCTGAGTCCTACCAGCATTCTGAAGGTCATTCCACATTCTTTGCAGTTCCCTCTATTTGGCAGTTCAGTGCTTTTGCACTGTCTCACACATTTTATGGATTATTTTATACCTCAAGTTATTATATTCACTAAACTCTGGATATTCACCAACTTTTATTTATCATACCAGCTTTATTTCCTAAGGCAAAGCCCAGAACAGTTTCTGATCTTGGTTTCTCTACAAACTGAGAAAGGAGACAGTCCTATGCTCTACCCTTCAGGAACAAGTACCCTTCCTTAGCAGTTCTAATACTGTTATGTCAGTCAATGTCACTATACTTGAAATCCCCCATGAACAGTGTTTTAGCCCTTTTTTACAAACCTTTCTTATCTGCATTGCTTCCTGATGTGCTTTCTTATCCTGCCCTCAAGGTTTAGAGCAGTTTTCTGTGATTTTCTTTAACCATTTGTATCTTTCAAATCCAAATGGGCTCAGCTAAAGAAGCCAAACTGTGGATGTCATTCTCATGGTAGACGTTATGTTCTTTTTCACATGTATCACCCCATACCACCTTTTCTTAGTAACGCTGAACTTTGTTTAGATTTGTAGGGGCCAGCATTTTTGGCAGGCACAAATAAGCTCGTACCCTACTGAGTGCCATTCTAGTGCCCTTCCCCTGACTGATCAGCTACTCTGCTTTCTGTTCTTTGCCCTGTACTACCTGCCCAATCCACTTGTCTGTTTTCTTCTCCCTACCCTATCTGCTGCTGTGCTGCCTGTCCCCTTCATAATCTAGTACTTGCCACACACAGGTTACAGTGCCACATGCCACAGATTGACCACTCCGGTTTAGATGACACATTTAGATATCAGGCAGCCAAGCTTTGTTCACAAACACACATAACATTGTTTTACATTTTTTTTTCCTTTTTATGCCTGTAAAAATACAGGTTGGATTAAAATGCAACTTTTTTTATTGAATAAGTGATTTCCAATAAATATTTCCTGAGTTCTTTATATAAGGTTTATAGGCTTTTAGGAATTTATGCATAAGTGTACAGCATCCTATCCCTTTATAAATTATCAGCTTCTACTATTGGCTCTATCTCAAAAGGCTCTGAGCAACTAATATTGCTTTCTACAAATATCTCCATTTGTCAATCTATCTATTGCACCCTTGGTGAAGTTAACTGCTGCTCCCTGCTGCTGATTTGACTAGGTAATACAGCATTGTTCCATACACCATAGAATAATATGTTTAATAAGCACAGAAGATAAAATCAAGAGAGTTATATAAAAAACATGAATACTGGTGTCAAAATAACAGACTCCACTTTCATAATGCTTTGACAGCTTAATTTGGTTGTTTGATTTTCTTACTGGTTATGACAGTTCCTTCCTCAGATAATTTTACCTTGATGATATACCATTGTTTTGACCAATAGGTTATAAAAGCAATTGAAGAAGGCTATCGTTTGCCAGCACCCATGGATTGCCCAGCAGGCCTTCACCAGCTGATGCTAGACTGTTGGCAGAAGGAACGTGGTGAAAGGCCAAAGTTTGAACAGATAGTTGGTATTTTGGACAAAATGATTCGAAACCCAAACAGTTTGAAAACCCCACTTGGGACCTGTAGCAGGTAAGAAAAATGTAGCAAGTATTTCTGATACTTTAAAATGATATTTCCTCTAACTAATCAGATTGGCTACTGGCTCCGTTTCATTCCAGCTGCTGTCCATAGGTCTCCCCTCTCTTCCTTCCTTCCTTCCTCTCTCTGTTCTTTCCCCTGCCCTTTATTAAATATAGTTTAAAAAGTCATGTTTCTTACACACAGCATACCCCAAAATAAGATGTGCACCTTGCTTTTGAAAGGCAATATGAAGGAAAAAGATATTTCCTTATAAGTAATTGGGTGTCTACACATGAAATTTAATGCAACACAATAAACTATGGTGCATCACACTGGAGTTTATTGCTCCCAGATACAGCATCTTCACGTGCGCCCAGGACCACAGCACACTGAGCCAGGTTGAGGCAGCCTTGGCTGGCAGGGGTCCGCGTTGTCAGCCTGCCAGCCCAGGGCTGCTCTGACTCAGCTCAACATGTTGCAGAGGGGCTAGCTGAGGCATGAAGGTATTCTAGTGCAAGGCTAGCCAGGAGGCAGCCCCCACATTGAAGCACCCTCATGCCCCAGCCAGCCCTGTCAGCATTTAAATGCGTGTTACTGTGCACTAAAAAATGCCACCATAGGATAGTGCTTATATTTGCAAGTACTAACCTATGGCAGTGTTTATTAGTTTCCTGTGGCCTAATAGGGCCACATGTGTAGATGCTGAGACTTTACTGTGAAGCTAACTGAGCAGCTTCACAGTAAATGTCATGTGTAGGTGTGTCGACTGAGTAGCAACAGTGAGGGAGCTGAGCCTGCTTATTGTTCTCATGTAGCTACTTCCACTTTTTGCTGGCAGAACCTTAAGCAGCAGAAACTTCCATTACCATGTTTCCTCACTTTTAACATGCACTCCAGTTTCAAGCAGCTGGTGGGTCTTTTTTGGTTTTTGGTTTTTTGGGGAGGGTTTTTTGGAAAAGTGCATGTTTTATGCAAGAAAATATTGTGAATAAAATCACCCAGAAGTGGCTCCATCAAAAACAAAATCTAAATTAAGGGAGAAAACTTCATACATAGACTTAGCATGACTCTTAGTATGACTGTGTAAGCTGGTAGCCATGATTGTCCTGAAATTGTGAGAGAGGCAAGAATTTTTTTGGTGGATACCTTTTAATGAACCAACTGCATAATTGGGATAAAGTTAGACAAGCTTTTGAATGCAAAGCATTCTTCAGGTCTGAGCAAAGATTGTTTTGAATGCTTGTCTAACCTTTTCCCTTCTATGCAGTTATTTCAATTAAAGATATCAACCAAAAAAAATCCCTACCTATTAGAAAGTATCACTGTCCACTCTACTTCTGTCTGTCTCCTTCACTCACCTTTAGTTTGTTGAATTGTCAATTCTTCCAGACAGGGAGCATCTTCTTTTTCTTTGCATGATGGGGATCTGGCCCCAAATACTACTGTAACCCAAGCAATAATTGGTGTCATAAAGACTAAGTACAGACAGTCAAAAAGTCCATGATTGAATCTTTTCAATCTTGGCAGGTTAGTCTAAGTCGCTTAGACTGAATGAATAAGCAAGTAAACAGACATTCACTTTAGATTCTGGAAATGCAGCCACAGGCCTGCAGTGGCCCAGGCCAGAAGCAAGGGGTGCTAGAGCATGGCTCCCTGCTCAGCTGGAGCAGACAGCTTGGACCAAGGCTAGCCCACCCACCCTATGGGGGGTGGGGTTTGCATGGGAGATGTAAAGCATCCTGGTATGCTGGGGGACTGTGAGTTAACTTAAATCTGGATGGGATCTGGGACAGAAATTCAATAAACCGATTTAACCTAAATCAGTTAAGTCTGATACTACGCTCATCCAGGTTTATCTTAAACCAGTTTCAGCCATTTTGAAAGATGTTTATGTGCATTGAACTTCTGTTGTGTTAGAGATTTGAACCTGTTTCCGATCACTTATATGGGTTTATGTGTAACTTCTGTCGCTAGGCAAAAAGCATAATCATAACACAGCATGTACATAATCAGCATCTTTAGCATTGTTCTGCAATAAACTCTACCTTTTTCTCTCCAAAGGCTGTAATTCCTTTCAGATATTTAAACTTATTCTTAGTCAGCCTTTAATATTTTCTTCATATAATGTGTATGTTCCCATGAGGTACTTAATCACAGCTACCTTTTAAACAGATGACTAAGAGACTTGATTTAGGGAGTTAGGAGACCTGCACTCTGTTCTCAGGTCTGCCACTGATCTGTTGTGTTACAACTAGGGATGCCACTTCATCTCTTTCTATTTCTATTCCCCTCATCCTTGTTATATCTTTTTCACTTGTATCACGAGTTCTTTGGGGCAGGAGCTTTCACTTATGTGTTTCTACAGTGTTTAGGAGAGTGGTGCCCTGACTTTGTTTGGCTCCCTCAGCTACTGCAGTTATATAAATAATAGACAATAAAGTTGCTTTCCAGTTGTTAACAGTAGGGTTCATTTCACTCTCTCTAACCTTTCATTATATCTAACAATATGCTTAGAAGATTCCTACCATGAGTTATAGACTAGTTTTATATCTGTGATTGCTAGCCACTGCAAAGGGATTGATAAAATGAGAAAAACTGTGTTTAGTCCTGCCACTTTCTGTTTCTGTAGGTATTTTGAATACAACAGCCCACTTTGACTCTGACCTTGCTAATACCCCTTAATGTATTTTTTTAATTGTGGAAACAACTTACCTTCCTGTTTTCTTCTACCTAGACCAATCAGCCCTCTTCTGGACCAGAATACCCCCGATTTTACCACTTTCTGCTCCGTAGGGGAATGGTTGCAAGCTATTAAAATGGAAAGATATAAGGATAACTTCACAGCAGCAGGCTACAATTCTCTGGAATCGGTAGCCAGGATGACTATTGAGTAAGTTTATACTGGACATTTTTAATTCATATTTGATGACCTAGTGGTAAAAAGCCACAGAGTTAAGTTCCAAAATATTACCTTAAGTACAAACTCATACTCTTAGGACTAGATTGTCTTCTGTCCTGTGGTGCCCTCAGTATAGGAGCAAAAGTCAAGTCATCAGGGAGCAGGCATACTTTTGAGTTGTCTTAGCAGTGTCTGTAACCTATACCAGTCATTAATAACCACTTAAGCACTGTCCAGCACTTGAAAACAAGAAGAAAATGGGTATTAGTGTTCCAGGAGCACTCTTTCTTTATTCCTCAGCGTTCCCTTGTGCTAGGCCTGAGAGAGCCTCTTAGCCTGAAGCAGGCCATGCCAATTGTAAGCTGTTTCCTAAAAGGTAAAATTCTCAGCTGGCATATATGTATTTTACATTGGATATGTTGGGTCACCTGAGCAGTACAAAAGGGTCAGATTGTCAAAAAGAATGTTGCAAAAAGTGCCTATTTTTTATTTCTACAAAAATAAACCATTACTACCCAGATCACCCCCTCCCAAGGAAAGCATCTTTTTGGGAAGAAAACATAAGAATTTCTTCCAAATTCTTGTGTGGAGAACGTGTTGTGAGAGAAAAGTGTTTAATCTCGGCAAAAAAAGTTCTTGATGCAAGTACAGTAAAAGCTCTGTTATCCGGCATCCCCTGGGAATGGGGGTTTGCCAGTTAATCACATATTCTGGTTAATCAAATGTGCACCGTCTGGTTCACTCCCCGGCATCCGTGTGCTGGGGGGCCCTGCGCAAGCTGCTTTTTCCCACGGAGGCTGCTTTGCCCTGGGTCGTGGGCTGAAAAAGTGGCAAAGAGAAACTCAGCTTGCGGCGGTGAAATAGGAAGTCCCCCAGAAGTGGTATTTCCGGTTTTGCTTTTGCTGCGTCGCTTGGATGCCGGTTAATAAAGTGCTGGTTAACACAGCTTTTACTGTATGTATCTGGACTGGCTATACAGTCTGTTGCTAGTTTTCATGGATGCAAAACCCCAGGTGCTACCTATTCCACTGTCTTCCCAAAGGAACTTCTGTAAGAAATGATCAAAAGAGGCAGCTGCTCCCCTGTTCCCTCTGCCTAACTACTCCCCCTACTCTCCAACCTCTAAACCTGTTTGGAGGGTTCCTCCATACAAGTCTCAGTGGACTAGAATGCAGTCCTAAATAATATTTATGCAGTATCTTTATCCTGCAAGCACTCTTACCAAAGGAGTGTTTCTTCAGTATGCTGAGTTTGTTCAATAACTACAGTTAGAAACTGTGAAAAATGATCCCAAATAGTTACACATATTTGTTATGTAAAAAGCAAGTAGTCTTATGCAAGCTTTACAGTATTGACCTGAAGTTCTAGTATAACTTTGACATATTCATGCTAGCAGCAGAAGATATTGCTTCAGTTTAAATGACAGTTCTATAAGTTGAACAAATAATATTATACACATTTATCTTTCCCAGGGATGTAATGAGTTTAGGGATCACGCTGGTTGGTCATCAGAAGAAAATTATGAGCAGCATTCAGACTATGAGAGCACAAATGCTACATTTACATGGCACTGGCATCCAAGTGTGATAGACATTTCTCCCTTATGAGGGAGGTGATGAACTGGGAGGACAGCACTGGCCTTCAGTATATACATGAAGTGCTGCTAGAAGACACTTGATTTCCTGGGTCCTTCCTGCAGTGACTAGATGATCTACAAGAAGCACCTACAGACTTGAACTCCTAAGTGCCACCAGAATTTACTAGAAGAGAATTAGGATCCACCAGTGGTGGCAAGGAAAACAGCAGTGACAATAAACAAAGTACTACCTGAAACACATACAAACACCTTGAGCTCTCTAACCTCCTTTTTATCTAAAAGACTTTTTAAAATGTACATAAAGAATTTAAAAAAGAATATATTTGTCAGATAAAATCATGATATTATTGTTAAATTCAACAAAATATTTTCCTTAAATCTGTGATTTCTGAATCTTTTTTTAATCATTTGTGTTCTTCATAAAGACTTTCTTTTTAGTATGATGTTTATATCTTTGGACCTTTTTAGTGCTAATTCTATGACACATTACTATACTGGGTACCTCTGAAGGATTATTTGAGATTTTAGAAATTTAAGAAGCATGACTAAGCAAAGTATATGTGTCTGAACATTGGTATCTTTTTGTGCCATTTTATTCTGTTATATCAATTCTGTATTGACATGGTTTGTTAATTGGCAGGAAGTCAGGAAAACGCGAGTTGCCAAGAGCTCTGATATTTTTTAAAGAGTTTGGTTGTTTTTTTTTTAAGGTTGAACATATACTATCTTTTACAAGAAAAAGGAAAGCAATAATGACCCCTAAGTAGTCGGCACTTTTAACAAATTGTTTGCAAGATGGTTTTAATGGACTAGATTTCAGGTGAGATTTTCAAGGGACTAGAACCGCAACTATAAACCTACTGAGACGCTTCAGTGAATGGATGATCGATTGTAGGAGTGTCTCAGAAGATGGGTGCAGTTCTCCAGTGTTACCTAAACATATAATCTGAGCACATTACGTTTTTTTCAATATTCTGCATTAACTAATCTGAGAGAAATAGCTGGCATATATTTTATATGAATTTCATTTGAATGCAGCCAGCTGTGAGAATAAGGGTTTAGATTTTTATATTACAACTGTAGAGTATGTGGCAAGGGGCAGTTCAGAATTTTCATATTTTTTTATAAGCTTTTGCTGCTCTGAACACACACACATATACACACACACACACAGAGCTCTGAGCACACCTGAGTGCATGCATACACATTCATTTGGGAACACAAGCAGAAAAGTATTTGCTCAATAAAATACCTTTTTACACCATTTTTATTTATATATGTACTTTATTTGATTAATATATTAAACTACCATAAGCAATAACAAAGTGTGTCTCTATCGATAATACAGGAATGTGTACAAACCAGAGAGAAATGCTTTAAAAATTATGAAAATGATGAACTACCCAACAGTGAAATGCTGTACTTCCAAAGAGAATTGGGCCACGTCTATTGACATTGATAGAGAGAGATCCCAGGGATCAGTCATAAAATAAGTCTTGTTTGATCATGTGGGCATCCACAGAACAAAAGAAAAGAAAAGAAAAAATCCCACAAAAAATCCTACGAACACCTGTAAATGTTCCTTTGTAAAACTTGTAAATTTTATTTATACTGTCTTGTTTTGTACACACATTTTTGTGTAGTGAGCTCTGAATACATTGAAAATGCACTATATTTTTCTATTTTACTTGCAGAGCATCACACAAGAACATGTATATTCAGTGCTCCATAATGTGTTTTCCCACATTTAGGACCAAAGATAGCTACCGAATACTTAATGGATCATTCCCTCACCCACCCACCTTTTTCTCCCTTTTAGATCACTGTACAGTGTTATATTTGTCATTTTATTTATTTGTTTGATTAGAAAACTCAGTTTGATTATACTATTTTTTCTCCCCTCACCCAATTGAAGAAAATATGTAAAAAGATTTTAATTAGCATAATCCAGTTACATAGACACTTCCATTTGTAATCTTTGTAATAGACTGTAAATATATTTTTGGAACTATAATGTGATGTGCATAAGGGTTATTTTTCAGTCTTCATATATATGATTGTTTAAACAATTCACAGTAATTTAAAGGCATTTGAGAAATATCACTTGTTGCTGGGCTTTGAAGAGGAAGAAAAATATGAATATTCTTATTTCATATTAGATATTCAGTAGAAATTAAGTTACTTTCATATGTAAAAATCAAGACTTTTTTTTCTTTTTACTTTTAAAGTTAATTTGCTAAAATATTTTAGAATTAAATGATAAACTATACTGAATGCCCAGTTTTCAAACTAGTGCATCTTGTCTCTTAATCTGGAATGTAAATTATCACTTGGTATACTAACTAAGTATTCATCTTGGCCCTAAAGCCTCAGTAAGATATCTAGGCTAAAATTTTCAAAGGAACTTAATGTATTTGGGTGCCCACATCTCAATATATTGCAACTGCATTTGGGTGCCTGTCTTTCTTAAACTTCTTTGAAAGCCCCAGTCCTAAACTATTGGCCATATTTTAAAGTGTTGTCTCTCCTTCATTATGCAGTACTTTATACAGCAAAGCAGTTAGGCATGGGCTTGATTTAAAGATTTGTCAGTAGTTGTAGGCACATGCTTAGCATTAAGTGCATGCTTAAATATTCTAAAGATTCTGCTGACTAGGAAGGAACCTAGAGATATGCTTACATTTAAACAAGTGCCTTACCATATTGGGCCCTCAATGACCAGCACCTAGAAGGTGCTAAACTACTTTCAAGTTACTTATTTATGTGCCCAATTATGATTACTAGAGTCTTAATTTCAGGTACCTGTTTTTTAGATCTTAGCTAGGATGTCTAAACATTTGATCGTGTGATATATTGTACTATTTCTGGTATTGTTCAGTACCTAAAAATTCCAGCCCAGCTAATTTAATAATAAAAGTTGACAGACACTTTCCTCCTTCAGGAATGCTTGGTATCCTGCAGCATGGAAGTCCTCAAAACAATTTAAATCAACTTTTGAATGTGAGTTTTCAAAAAAGAGTTCCATAAAAGTAATTATATCTCTTTTTTATCGCTATTAAATTCATACTTAAGCCATCTTTTTTAAGAGATCTACTACTTATTGTTTTTCTGTAACCTTAACAGCCTTAAAATTGTTACAGATGTTTATACCTTTGAAAGGGGCAGAAGAAATTCACAAATCAGAATCAAAATCCACATTCTTAATATCTTTCTGTGATATGGTGAATTATTACAATTTGAATACATTGATATATTCAAATCTATTTTGACCAGTAAAGTATCAACAGTATGATGTTGATTGCTAGTCTCTAGGCTGTGGAAAGAGAACAATATAAGAAAAATAGTGTTCCAAAACACTGGAAAAGCAACTCAGAACTTTTCACAAAGACAAATACTTGGGGATTAGGGGAAGAAAGTGTGGCTATCAAAAATAAAGATTCCAAACTGATCAATGATGAAGCAAATCAACTACGCCTAGTTCTGATCTGAGCTGCACCCCATCCAACTTCATGGAAGTCAAGATTTGTATAAGGTAGAAGTTAGGATAGAGTTGGACCCTGTGCTCCATATTCTTTTCCATCTATTAGGCGTGCAAGTGGATTTAGGTGTTCGTGTGAACCTGTTTCACCCGGCTTGACTCCCTGACAGACAGTTAATGCAGAAGATGGGTGGGTCCTCCTCACTATTTTTTGTGACTCATTATTAAGGGTAAAATGGCACTGTGTTATGAAAATAGAATAGTAGGATGAAATAGAATTGCATTTAGGTGCCTAAATCCACTTAACTTCTTCACTGATGGTAGAGAATATGGCCTTGTGTGTACACCTACCTTTTTTAGTTTTCAGCTTTAAAGCTAAGCAAGCTTTTCCATTAGCCAGATTTCCTTAATTGGGTTTTGTCATGGACACTATTTCTCCTTTCAGAGATTTGTAACAGATTATCTAACTGTAACTATGAAGTGAGTTTTTACTTTTTATACTTCATATTGATAATCCAATGCTAACCCAACAGGCAGACTGGTCAATAACAGGCCCGACATCTAAATAATTTGAAATGTTCACTAATGTATAACTTTACTTAAGAGGCTCTGATTAGTTAAGAGGTTACACATGATAGTTATTATTTATAAAATCATGTTCAACTAGCACACTGGCACTACTGTTTGAAAACCTTCAGGAAGAAAAGAAGCCAACATATATCAAAAATGAATGTTTTCCTTAATATCTCAGTCACTGAGATCTGTTTGTTTCATTCTCTAATTAAAATGGGGGGTTTGCTTAAATGAGATATTTGCTTAAAGTGGAGATTTTTTGGCATGCACTGAAGTGGTTTAAAGAAATTATTTTAAATTAAATTAGCTTTACTCCATTAATAACAATTCACAGTAAATAGTTTTCCATGTTTAAAACACATGTTATTTGCTCTCCAGAACATTGGTATGTAGCAACTTTGGACTTATTTAACTTTGTGTTCCTAAATTAAGACTTGATGTCACATTCCTTAATTCCAAGTGATACAGAAATACATTACCCCAGTAGCACTGTCACTTGGCTTTCAGTTTCTAAGCAAAAATAATGGCTCAGTCTAGGGCAGACTAGCATACAGAAGGGCTGCGTGCTGGCATAATGATGCTACTGAACCAAAGTTTGACCCTTTGTTGTTTCACTGTTTTTAATATTAATATTTAGAGGCCTATTCCTGCATTTTTTTTAAATCCTACTATGTCATAGGTAGAGTTAAAAATTATATAACTACCTCACAACTATTTCTGATGTATTTATCATTTTAAAAAGGATGGAAGAAAGTGAGAGGGAGAGGACAGTTCCCAGGTCCAGGTTATAAACCCAAGTTTAAGACAGATAATACAGATGTTTTTGTAATGATCTGTGGCAGCCAAACTAAGATTGCAATACTGCCAAACTTTCCTTTCAGCCACTTGACCTTATGAGTTGCTGAGCAACTGCACATTGAGAGCTGTTCACGCTTAGCATCTCCCAGTTTTGTTGCCCTGGTTGTGGACACAACTCATTTACAGTCCCTGCAAGCCAGGAGTAACTATCTAATGGTCTAAGTTACACTACTGCACATGTCATGTTTCCACAATTCCAGTCAGTTTCATCCCAAGATAGTTGGTTGTTAATGCAAATGTGTTGTTTGAATTGAATAATTCCTTTCTATGCCCCTCACCACCAACTGTCGTTGAAGCACTATAATGGGACCTATTGTAGGCAGTCCCTTCAGAGAGCTGGTTGTCTGCCATCCCTGGGCACGAGTGCCACTTACATTGGTGTTCAAATCATTGTGATGTCAATGTGTAGTCCCCACATGATCATATCTGTTAAATGATTGTCAAGAGAGTTAAACAACAATTAAACAATTATTTCTAGCAACAGAAGAATTGTTTTAGACAATTCAAACTGGCATGAATATAGCAGATTCTAGAGTAAAGATAACTCAAAACTTCTGGTTTTCAGATTCCCCTTAGTTCTAGTAAAACAAATTCTGAGCTGCAGCATTTTCCCCGTTATTCTGTTAAGACTCATTGAAGCCAGCCAATAATTACTTCAAACAAAAATCTGTATTGTTTGCATAGCACAGCTTTCCACTTTCTTAGGAATATGCTGTCCTGTAATTAAATTTCCCTTGAAAAACAATGGTTTCAAGGACAAAGAATCTTTTGGAAAAATACACAGGATTTGATCAAACCCAATACTGTAAAAAAGAAAGAAAAACAACCAGAACACTACTTTATGAAACCCAAAACACTACTTGTTTCACTTGTCCTTAATGGGACCACATTCCATATGGTGCTTTATAAAACATACTGGAGCATATTAAAACATACACACAAAAAATGTACCCTACAGCTGAGTAGATTTGCTCTCCTAAAGCAGACTAGATCAACTTTAATTATTTTTAAGAGAAATATATTCCAAAATTGTTAAGCTAGGATGGCTAGCTCACATGTAAGGTAAAGTCTTCTATAACCTAAGGGCCAAAACAGTGAATGTCTGATATCAATAAAACTCCAGGTGGGCTTTTAGGACAGATAAATGGTGTGCAATTGGACAGCGAAGGACACAATTTGAAGTTGTATACGATTAGGAGACCTTGTAGGTTATGTTCAGTAAGATTATGGAAAGCATTAAAAGTTAAAGAGCAAAAGCCCAAACTGAGTCTTGAGCTTGACTCAAAGCCAGAAAGTGCATGTATTGGAGGGAGAAATGTGAAGATGCCTAGAATGATTGAGACCTAGTTGCAACGCTCTATAATACAAAGTTTTAAAAGTTTGCAGTGAGATCAAGAAGCATCACCATTTTTTTGTTTAAGTAAAGAGGCATTGTTAATAAAATATAGCAAATAACCTAGTATGGAGTGGTTTCAGTACTGTGATTTTTCCTAAGGCCAGATTGGAATTTGTCAAAGAGTCTAAATTGAGACAGATGGGAAAGCAAGTGGTAATGCACAACCTGTTCAAGCAGACTTCAAAGAGATGAAAGGAAAATGTTATATTAAAGGCATGAAAGTGAACTATGATGATACTTGCTCTCAGAGGACTCTAGAATGGGTTTCTTTAAGGCTGGGGTAATGATAGCAGATTTCAGTACTGTTAGTATACAGAGTTGGCAAAGTGACCAGCAAAGAACCTTCACTTGAGAAAGAGTTGATCAAAGTCTTCACAGAGTATGGAGAAGATGAGCTATAGCCCTAACAAGCCAGCCAAATTAATGTTGGATGAAAATGAAGGAACACAATTTCAAATGCCAGAGGAACTGCATGTTTGTTCATCCATGGACTAAACTTTCCACGTCAAATTGAATCAAAAGCTTGATTGTTGTAGTGCCACTCTGTGAATAATTTAAAATGAATGTAATTAATATACTAAGTAAAAAGCAGTAATTTGAGTTTCACCTAAAGAGCCATAATGTGACTAACACTAGAAAACACACCCAATTGTTACAAAACTGAAACCCTACCTGTACCACTGAGATTAAAGCAGGGTACCAAAGAAAGAAAACCCAGTTAATAATTAAATTCACCTTCCCCTCTCCCTACAACTTCTAGCCCAATAAACTATTGGAATCACCCATGCTATGAAGATGTTAAATTCTGATTATTTATGTAGTGTTATTAATATCCATGTGACTTTATCCAGTACTTTGACACACGTGTCCCTGCCTTAAACACCTAATGTGACTCAAAGCAAAGTTAAGATTGTATTGATGTAAAAGGAGGGGTTTTTTCATTCATTCCAGGGTAATCAGGATTTAGGCTTGAGAAGATGTCAAACAGGAGTACAAAGAAACACTTCTTGTGTAGATTTTGTCTCTCTCTCTCTCTAGGTACCATATCTAAACAGGACATTTGTGACTATGGTCTTCCACATATAAAATTTCCAATGTCAATATATTCATCTATTTAAATGGACTCTTCACATATGTCAACCTCTGTCTTCCATGGTCTCTCCTTCCTTCAGTCTTTCCAGTTACGACCAGACTTTCAATTTCCTCTTTCCTCATAATGTGTCTGAAACTCCAACTGTCTCTTTCTGACGTTAAGCTGTAGTTACCTCCTGCAGCCTGCTCTTAACAAAATATCTTAATTTGAAGTCTGACTTGTCCAACATACCTTCAATATGTATTAATAGATGTATTACTCAAGAATATTTGTGACTTCGGACTTTGTTAGTTTGTACTAGTCCATCATGAAGCTTTAGGCCTTCTTTTGAGATAAATGTTTCTGAAAGCGTGTTTCATTGGCTCAAGGCACAAAAACCTCTGGTTCACCAAGAAAGTTGCCAAGGCCAAGAAGAGACATGCAGCCAGGAAACCCAGAAGATGCAGTGATTCTCTTCACTTAATAGCTTCTCCCAGTGGTGTCTGTTTGGATCCATAGCTACAAAATAAAGCTGCTCTTCATAATGAAGATGCAGTGAACCCCTCTTCAAAATTGAGGTCTTTCAAGTAAGTA